TTCAATACATAATAAATTTTTCTAAAATTAAAAAACAGGTTAAAATAACAATTTGAATGCTATTTACATCGCAGCATGACGTCATGATGATCGGATAACGTAGTGCATGAAATAAATAACCTCATATCTACATATTGACAGATACCTAACCTTAATTCTACTGAAAGTGACAGATACCTACGATTTTTGTTATTTATGCATAACACCCTGAATTTTATAATATCCTTCTATACGCTAAAGAAGTATCGGGTTTTCACAACGCGCGCGCCATCTGGTGGACTTCAAAAGCATTGCGTGAATTTAAGAATTGTCAACAATACATTTAAAGCACAGATTATACATAAATTTTTAAATAAATAGGTAGTTTTTTTTACAAAAGAAAGGAAGTAAGAAGTCTTACACGACAAATTTTGTTCAATTGCACAGCTAAATCGCGCACGTTATTTGTGTTTTACGTTGCAAGGAAAAAATTAAAAAACTTTTTTAGTACTCGATTTTGATTGATTATTCCTTATATCATTGATTAAGAAACTCAACGTTTAAATGCTTATATATAGTTACGTTAGTGTGTATATTTTATCTAAGGGATCATGGTGAGTTATTGTGTTTTTAATTGTAAATAAAATTCAAGAACTAAATCGTTGCATTTTCATGTTTTGCCAAAGGATCCAATTCGGTAAGTACATTTCGTGGGTTGAGTATTATAATGTTCTAACAGCACTTTTGGCGCGAAATCGGCTTTTTTGATAGAAAAATAGTACATAAAATTTCTGTTCTATGTATATAAAAATGCCTGTTTAATTTAATACACAAACTAAAAAAAAAGCATTATTAAATTGTTCTATCGCACCAATTTAAAAACGGTTTAAAATTATAATATCCTAACAGACCAACCAATGAGAGAAGAGAATTTTGATCTGTTAGAACAATATAATTTTTGCTGTTTCAGTTTTGTATGCAAGTAATAATCACGTGGTTGTGCGGTGCAATTTTAAAACAAAGAATACGTAGGTATGTTCTTATTTAAGGGATACTTCTTAGAACCCTAAAGTTTTGGAATTCTTTCCCAGTAAACACATACACGTTTTTTAAACGTATTTAAAACGTGTGAAAGGTCAATAAAACGTTTTACGTGGAAAAAGCAACGGTTTGATATTGGTATAAATTTACACCAATTAATTTAAACGTTAAAACAACGTTAATTTAAATATGCTTTTTAATAGTGGCTAACTTTTACGTTACAATAACGTTGTATTGAGGTGTTCAGTCAACCATATATTTAAATGTTTAATTTAAACGTTAAAACAACGTTAATTTAAATATGCTTTTAATAGTGACTAACTTTTACGTTACAATAACGTTGTATTAAGGTGTTCAGTCAACAATATATTTAAATGTTTAATTTAAACGTTAAAACAACGTTAATTTAAATGTGCTTTTTAATAGTGGCTAACTTTTACGTTACAATAATGTATTAACGTTTTCAGTCGACCATACATTTAAATGTTTAAATTACGTTTCAACTTAATGAGAAAATAACGTTTGAAGTAATTATTTTATGAACTGTGCAGGCAGCTCTTTCTTTTAACATTTATACTATGTTATATTCAAGACGCTCCATCAAACACTTTTAAAAGTACTTTTTTTATATTTATTTTGTGAAATTTTTGCTTAGTTTACACATGTAGACAATATGACTTCTTATTTAAATTCTGAAGGTATAAAATCTAAGAATTTTGTTTGTTAAAAAAATGAATTATGAATGAATGTTAAATAAATAATTTAACTTTTTCACTTTTACAAAAGTATATTTTTATAACGTTAATAAAACGGTTTTTGTCAAATACAAATATACCTACTTTCATCCACATCGTGTTTTTCTAAAATGGGATAACTTGTTTGAAAATAATTTATAACGTTTAATATTTAATAAACTGATGCAACATGTATTCATACATAAACAATATACATAGGTATACATATATAAACAACATTAAATGAAATTTAGAAATTTTCTAATTTCATTCTAAAGAATAGCATAAGTCATTCTATAGTCAATGGTCATACAGTAAGCTTTAGGCAGAACACTATACACATACACAATTGCTTTAAGAAGTGCATTATTTTATTAAAATTTTTTAAACTAGACAGTTACTGTAATAGTTAAAAATAACGTACTTAATACGTTTAAACAAACGAACTTAATACGTTGAAACAAACGTATTTAATACGTTTAAACAAACGTACTTAATACGTTTAAATAAACGTATTTAATACGTTTATACATAACCATATAAAACGCATTACTGAAGAACGCAATCTGATTGGCCGAATACACATCATGTGATTGGCGCTGCCAATGGCAGGCTGCCATGCCATAGCTGCTCGCTACGTCAGTTTTCAATTTAATTTTGCTATCAAAAGGTGCATTTTTTTACGTGTTTTCTGCTCGTAAGATTCGTCCTGCTTTTGGTAAGTACTTTAATGTAATTGTTTTAAAACATACACACTGTTAATATCACGCAGATTCATTGCTTTATTTCCTAATTTTCGGGGGAGTGTGATTTTGTTCTTATTATAATTTGTGCAGTGTCCTAGAATAATATGAGAGTTAATATGTTAATTTTAAAGACGTTTTCTACGTGTTTTCAATGTTTATTAAGTATAGTGGGGTAGGTAAATATTAACTCACACAAATTAACATTAAGTTAACATTAAACTGATTTAGATTACTCAATAGTCATAAATGTACAGATGTTAAAATTGTGGAAAGAGTCCATTATTTCCAAATTTAGGGGCGGTCGTGTATTTTTACTGTAAATTGGAATTAGGCGTGATTTTACTAGAGAATTCTCTAGTAAAATCACACTTAAGTCGGCTCGATAAGATACATTTGCTTTGGTTATAGATCTATTCAACAAGACCTGGTGTACGTATTGTAAATTAGTATTTTGAGAACACTCTTATTATACCGGGTGCGCTAAAAATACCGTTTTTTTTAAATCAAATTTCAGCCCAACGATATTCTACAATACAAATTTTTGAATTTAATCTGTTGAACAACAAAGCCAGCTGAAAACAAGCTTTTTAAGCGATTTTTTTAATCTTATAGGGTTTTTCGAAAAATTAGTCTATTTTTCATCGTTTAACAAATTTCTTTTTTGTGTTTTAGAAGCAGCTAAATTTTCCAGCAAACGATAAAAATGATTCACCTGAAGACGACTGAAAATACCTTCAAAACCTTTCCTTCATTTAAAAAAATCATTGTCTTCAACCTGTATTCATGTTGCAGTTAACGTTAAACGAACGTTTAATAAATACGTTGTAGAAACAAGTATTTGTGGAGTTTTATTTATTATAGAACTAACGTTAGAAAGGACATTAATATGAATTTAAATATAACGTATAGATAAACGTTATAAAAGAGGCAAAAACAATCATTAATTTACGTTATTAATAGACGTATATTAAACGTTCTAAATGTAACATTTCGAAACGTGTAATGATCGTTTTCTTAACGCCAAAATTAAACGTTTATTTATTAGTATTGTTAAACGTTATAATCTGCGACATTTTAAAGTTGATTGTACGTTATAAATATACGTAAAAACAAAATGGTGTTACGGTTTAAAAAAACGTTTAATTAACGTATGTGTGTTTACTGGGTTAGAACTAAAAACTTTTAGTTTTAAAGAATTTTGTATGCTGTTAGAACAAAATCTGATGTTTTGTGTAAAATTTTCGTTTTAAATAAAAAAAAAATGTTCTATCAAAAATCGTTTATTTTGTAAAACCCAGTATTGGAAGAAATAAGTTCAAATAGGGACAATACATTTTTTAATTCTTAAGGATACGAGTCCAAAACCAGTACTTAAAATTATAAAAATCTTTACAAACGGTATTAGAATGAGCCTGGAATATTTAATCGCCATTCCCCAACAATTTCATTTTGGATTTATAGAACAATATAATACTCAACATTATTGGTTAATTCTGCACCAACAAATTTTGTTGGTGCAGAATTAACCAATAATAACTTTACCTATTATAATTTATATTTAAGTTTGGACATTTTTAAGAAATTAGTAAAAAATAATTTTTGCACAAACATAACCTTAAAATTAATCATTTTTATATTTGAGTTCTCTAAAAAACGCCGACAACTGCATTTTAAACAACAAAATATACCTATGCATTCATGGCAACATAATATTATATATAATACATAATATAATGGTATTCTACCGTTGAGTGGAGACTTTAAATAATTCTTAATCAACGCTTTTAATAATGCTAAATGCTGTTTAAATTTAGACGACTTATTTGTTTGGCGATTTTTACTGAATTGAAATGTATACACTTTTCAAGTTAATCACTACTAAAATGTTTATTTTTTGTATCTAATAGGTATAATTTATATTTACAGAGACTATATGCAATTTATTTCTTCATTCAGATTAACACTGTTTATTGGAAATCGGTAAAAACTCAACCCAGGATTTTCTTTTTTATTTAAAGAGCTACAAGGTTGGTTAAATTAAAGAAAAGTTGCGTAATTAAAAGTCTACTAAAATGGCATTTAAAAATTGAAAACAAATGAGCGGTTCTCGAATTAAAAAAAAAACAAACTGAAAAGTTATTCCTAGGAATTTTAAAAACACGTAAGTTTTACATGTAAACATACAAATGTATCTACATTTTTATCTAATTTTTTTAATTTACCTCTACCATCATTGTTTTTCCTATGGCCATATTGGAATTTTACATGGATATTTTATTATTGCTTATTAAGTAAAATTACCATGAGCTGATAAGTTTTTAGTATTTTAGATAACGAACAAAACATTTAAGTCATAATTGATTAATCTTTTGCAAATACTCATATAACAATAATCTATTTTAATATTTATTTCTTTAAATAAATAAACTATACTTATGCTATACTTACTAAAACAATAAATATAACAACAATTTTCTTTTTAAATATTTATTCAGCATTTTTACAAATATCCTTTTCCATCCAAATATTTAATTAAATTTACAACCCTTTCACTGACATTCTTATTCTTCACATTACAACTGAACATGTCGTGGTATTGGCAATCATCGTTTTCTATCATTTCCCTAAAATCGATTTTCTTACTTTCATCTTCAGCGGCTTGTTCATAAATATAAGGCACATCAGTAATACCAAACTTGCAGTATTTCTTCCACTTTTGGAGGAAAACTGTCTTTGGGTAAACGGTATGAGGATTTAATTGGTATTCTTTAAGGTGGTTTGAGAATGTGGTGTAATAGTAATCTAATAGGTTGTCTAGCTCGTTTAGGTGTTCGGTCGAAATGCTGGTGAATAGGAATTTGCTTAGGTCGATTTCTAAGTAACCCAGCGAGGATAGTTGCCAGTCTATAAAAGAAACTGCTTCTGGATTTTCAGCATCGTTATCCTAAAATAACAAAATAAAAAAAATAGCAATAACAGGATGAAAAAAAATTAAATCAGAACAAGAAGAATACGTATTTGTGAAATAAATTTTATGTTTATGTCCTAAATAATAACCATATACAGGGTGTCCCAATAAGTTGTCATCCTTTAAGGGGATAATAGTACACGCCAAAATAAGAAAGTTTGTTCTCAATTATTTCTGTACTAGAGCCTTCTTTTTAATAAAAAAATCATTTAAGTAAATTCTTATTAATAATTAATTATTAAGTAGAAATTTTGGGCCGCCACTGTTTATAGTTGTTTTTTGTTTTGCGTACTCAGCTATGTTTAGGTACTTTAAATAAAACAATACTTACTTTTAATTGTTAGGTATCTCGAGGTTTTCATGGTTTTTCCATCGATTTTAAATTTAAATTTAAATTTTACCTTTCTATTTTTACGTCGATTGATGTGCATGTAGCTATTTTTTAAAGTTTTATAAAAAATCATAATAAATGAGGACGATATGTGGGGCAGTTAATTTTTAATATTTCTTAATTTATTAATACTAATGTAAAAACAGCAAAATAATCGAACTCTATTGGATTTGTAAACACATTAGATTATAACAGTATAATTGCGCTTTCCATTTGTTTAACTAATAAATGAATTCAATACTTAATTTTGGAAATTAAGAAAAAAAAGACAAAATAATTGTACCACAAAACGTGCTTGGGCAACCCAATAACTAAAAAAATTGTTAGAAATAATAGCAAAATAACAACTCCCGAACTCCATACATTAATCCCAAATGTTTGGAGGTAATACTAACTGCCTAGTCAAGGGGGGTACCGCGTCGTACTTAGATTTAAGTCGGCGTAATTGTCCCCCAAACACCAAACTGTCTATCCCTCCCGTCCTACCTCCTACATGACCCTCCTGGGCGTATAGCATCGGCTCGGCGAACCCGGGAAGGTAATAAAGAAAAAGCTTTCTTGTTTTGGCGTGATCTATCATCCCCCCAAAGGATGACAATTTATTAGGGGACACCCTGTATATACGTTTTTAAATATATACATAAATCTAATACATTCTGCAATATTTTTGAAATAACAAAAATACTAATACCTAAAAAATATATTTTTTGGAACGAAATATAATATTTTTCATACCTAAACACCACTATTTAATCAAATAAAAATGTTTTGGAGTTATAATAAGCTTACCTTATATTTGAACAAGTAGTTATTGTTCCAACAGTCTCCATGTACAACCACAGACCACTCATCATTAAACACCTGGCTTCTAAACATATCCACAAAATCATAACTTTTCACTTTATTCAGAAGCTCCTCCTCATTACTGGATTTTAAAATATCACATAAACTTTCATGGAAATTAAGAAATATTTTTGCACCTGGTCCCTGCGTTATACAAATCTTCAAGCCATAAAATCCTTTAATTGCGTCTTCCCACACTTCAAGACTGTGTTGTCTGATTGCAAAGGATAAACTATGCAATTTGGCGTAATTTTCCAGGACAAGTTTAATATGCTTTATGTTCATTGGTTTTTTTATGTCGTGAAGCTTGAAACCCTTTACACATAAATTTTCCAACGCTAACATTTCCCTGTCCTCCATAAAGACGGTTTTAAAATACTTGGGGAAGTGGTGGAGCTGTTCTAAGTTGTTATAATTTAAGTAAGTTTGAAAGCATGGTAGAATTTTCGAATAAAACGCTTTTTCTACTTGGTAGAATGTCCCTACAAGCATTTCCGATCTTTGGTATTTGTCAACAGAGCTATGTTTTACTACGAAGTTGTAGTTAATTGATTTGTTGTTTATAGTTTTTCCAGTTGCGTCTATGAATATGGCCAATCCAGTGCATCCTTTCTGGGTATCTATCCCTGTAAATTTGTGTTAATTAAAAACATTTTTTATTAACAATTTTATACCTTTTATAGTAATATCGATATCCTTTAACTCATCTTCTTCCAAAATTTTGCTTACAAAATTTAATAGGTCAGTTTTTCTTACACCAAATTTTTCAATGGTTTCCATGTTCATAATATGTTTGAATGATCAAATATTTAATAAAATAACAACAAGCTTGAAATGTTATTTAAACTACTTAAATATAATAACTATTTATAGAACCTATCTGATAAGGCAATATTAAAAATGTCATTCAAAGAATAGAGATTTGAATTTTTTCACATTCATACATGTTGATGGGTCACATTTTTTAAGCTACTCAACTGAAATCTGAACTTTAAACTTGGCCTACTACAAATTCACAAACAGGGACAGTTCTCGATATTTTGCTTCGCGTTCGAGATATCGAAAAAAGTTATTGGAAAAAGTTGTTCAGAATATTATTCTAACCCCATTTACCAATTTTTATAACAAAATTCGCATTTTTATTTTTTTTTTATTTTGGTCCACACAAAATTATTACAAGTTCATTTTTTAGTTTGATAATAAGGGAGCCATGAAAAGTAATAATTTGATACTTACTAGTGTTTATGACCGTTAAATAAATAATTAAAACAATTTTTGGAAATTACAAATCAATTATAATTTATTAAATTAAGGAAATGGTATAAAACAATAATAAAACTAATAAAAATAAATAAGAATTTTGCTATGAAAATCGGTATACGGGGTTAGAATAATATTCTGAACAACTTTTTCTAATAATTTTTTTCGATATTTCTAACGCGAAGCAAAATATCGACAACTGGCCCCGTTTGTGAATTCGTAGTAGGCCAAGTTTAAAGTTCAGATTTCACTTAAGTATCTTAAAAAATGTGACCCACCAACATGTATGAATGTGAAAAAATTCAAATCTCTATTCCTTGAAATAGCGAAAACAGACACCCCCATAGTCTTCATCTTAAATGCGACACACTGTATATATATATATATATATATATATATATTTTGTGTTAATTTTTATCTCATAATTAATTATGGTTATTAGGCTGGTTCAAAAAAATCACCTATTTTTTTTCCTAAAATTTCGCACTGAAATATCTTTTTTAATTTTAATATTTAGAGGTCGCGCATCGAGAAATTCTATTTCCCATTTAAATAACATGGGAAATTTTGTTTTGTTTCTTAATAATTTTCTAGCTCACAAACTAATTAACAGATTTGTATGCGCGATATATATTCTTGTGGGAAATTGAACGCTCTACAAAAAATGTATTCTATCATTATTTGATAAACCAACTAGTTCAAAAGTTGTTCAAAGTCGAAGTTAAATTTATGTCATAAGTGCATTTTTTACTTCAATTTTAGGCAAATTCATTAAAGTTATTATCAAAAATCAAAATTACTATGTTCAATAAGCCTTTTAAATTAATTCCACTGAAACACGTACTATTACTGGAAAGAATTCATTAAAAAGGATTTTTAATCAATAAAAAAGGATTTTAATCAATCAAAAAGAATTTTAATGAATTCTTTCCAAAAATAGTAGGTGTTTCAGTGGAATTGATTGAACATCGTAATTTTGATTTTTGAATGATTTTTTTTATATTTGATAATAACTAACTTATGAATTTGCCTAAAATTGAAGTAAAAAATGCAATTATGACATAAATTTAACTTCGACTTTGAATAAATTTTGAACTCGTTGGTTTATCGAAAAATGATATGAAACATTTTTTGTAGAGCGTTCAATTTTCCACAAGAATATATATCGCGCATACAAATCTGTTAATTAGTTTGTAAGCTAGAAAATTATAAAGAAACAAAACAAAATTTCCCATGTTATTTAAATGGAAAATAAAAATTATCGATGCGCGACATCTAAATATTAAAATTAAGAGCTCCGGTTTTCACAGGAGTCTTTTTTTGGTATCGTTAAGATATTTCAGTGCAAAAATTCAGGAAAAAAAATAAATTTATTTTAATGTTAGAACAAGTAACAAAACCCAACGATAATTGCAGAATTAAAAAAAATGATTTTTTACACAAATGCTGAAATGTGCGAAATGCGTTACCTTTACGGTTTGGAGAATTTTGCAAAGACAAAGACTTTTGAATCATTTTTTATTTTTTTTAATTTTGCAATTATCGTTTCGTTTTGTTACTTGTTCTAACGTTAAAATAAATTTTGTATAATTATAATTATAATTATAATTGGTAAAAAAATTTTTTTTCAAAAAATTTACCATGTTTTTAAACATAAAAGTTGATTTTCCTCGAAAACGGTCAACTTTAGAGCTTATGACCAAGAGTACCTTTTTTGTATAGAAAACATTGGCGGTTGAATGGGCTTCTCAAAACCGTACTTTTTTTTGGAGCGTCGAAGCTGAGAAGAAAAAAAAACACCCGCTACCCCTTCAAAATCTCCACCAATTATGAGTAAAAAAAATTTTTTTCTGGTACAAAATATAGCTTATTATGAGTATAAAATGCTTACAAAAGCTGTTTTTTGTACGATAAACGGTTCCGGATATATTCGAAAATAACGATTTTTTTTCTAAAATTTCAACACCCTGTATCTCGAAAATTGTGCATTTTAGAGGGTAAGTTAATAGCGACTTTTTTCATCTTTTTGGATGAGCTTCACATCCTGAAGTCCTGCGCATATATTATGAAACACCCTGTATAGAAGACCCATTTTTACATGCAGGTCTAATTACACAGTACAACACGATTTTCTCATGAAAAATTTTAACAGATTTAAAAAATAAAGGTTAAAAAAACCTACCTGTGTCTCACCGTTTCACGAAATCACGTCATTTAAATTTTTTACACAGCCATTCTTATTATTTTAACCTAAACAGATTTTTAATTCTCTATTATAAATCTTTTTTTTTCTTCAAATATTTTATGGTATTACATAATACAAAAAAACAATTTTATTTTTTTTAAGTAAAAAAAATATTTCTGGTTTTAGTTTTCAATTTTTTTTAATAAAACAACAGATTTGTGTTTATCTTATATTAAATATATGTTGGAAACAAATCTTGATCTTTTAGTTTGACGATTATACATTGCTTTCGAATCTATAGTGGTATCACAACCTAAAAACACCACTTGATATACAGTGTGTTTCACATTCGTGGTCCATTAAAAGTTTCTGGGGAACGGAAAAAATATCAATTTGAAATTTAAAAGCGTTTATAATCCGTTAAGTCTATTTTTTTTAAATATTTTGATTAAAATGCCTTTTCCGCTTTGACTGGAAGTGACATCAACTTTGTTATTTCAAATAGAACACCCCATATATTTTCACATTTTTAAATTCCACATAAAATTCTGAGTAAAATTACTATACCATGTCCTATACCTAAAGTGAATAATTTTCTAAATGTTTGCTATTAGGTTTACGGAAATGGGGGTAAAACATTGTTTAAGAAATTCCATGTCAATTCTTTAACATTTTTCAACAAATTACCCGAGTAAACCCAGGGCAAATTGGGCTAACTTGAAACGTTAATAACTTTTTTATTTTAAATGTAACACCCGGTATGTTAATAAATTGACATGGAATCTTTTAAACAATGTTTTAAGATTCCAAAAATTCCACCCCCTTTTTCGCAAATCTAATAGCAAGAAAGTTATAGCATCTTTACTCAATGATTATAGGCTATTTTTAATTGGATATTTATTTATTTTTAATAGCCATATATTTTAATAGCAAATATTTTAACATGTAAAAGTTAACCAAACTTCTTAAAAAAATTTTAACTATTATATTATTACCTACCTCATTTATTGTAGTTTGGCTGATGATGGTACTTTAAATACCGAAACTATTAGCAAATAAAAACTATTAACCAAGCAAGGAAGTATACTTATTTAAATTCAAAATATCCAACATTCAAACCTTGTTAAAAATGGACTAAAAAAACCTAATGAAACTATTTTTAATTGACGCGCATTTGTCATATTTTAACGGAAAAAATTAATAACTCGAAAACTATTCACTTTAGGTATAGGACATGGTACAGTAATATTACTCAAAATTTTATGTAGAATTTAAAAAAGTAAAAATATATGGGGTGTTCTATTTAAAATAACAAAGTTGATGTAACTTCCGGTTAAACCGCAAGCGGCATTTTGTTTAAAATGTTTTAGAAAAATAGACTTCATTGCAATCCATGTATAATAAAGGGTTTAACAATTTTAAATCGATATCTTTTGCCGTTCCTCAGAAACTCTTAATGGACCACGAACGTGAAACACCCCTATTTCGTAAATGTGCAACACCATGTATATAATTAAAATATTTTAAAATAAATAAATACATTGTATATATAAAATAAATAATTTTAATGGTTGTCCATTTATTCTGTAAATAAATTTTTCATAAAAATATACTGTCTAGCTGTTATCGAAGCTGTTATAGTATGTGCCGAATACCGTGGAAAACATTTTACTGGATCGCACTAAAAAAAATGACGTGATCTGAAAAAACGCCGAGACACGGGTATCATTTCTTTAAGTCTATTTTCAAAATCTATAGAAATGGGAGGGAAAAAACAAATTTAGTCGTACTGTGTAATAAGCGAGTTATAAAAATGTATATAAAATGTCATTTAAGCAGGGATAAACGACCTCGGAAATTTGTACTGTATAAAATAAAAACCATTATACATATTTTAATATTATATTATATATTATATTTTATTTTTATAATATAAACAACTTATATTATATTATTATTTAATAAAACTTAATTTATATTTAAGATAGTTTCATAATTTATTATGTTGTAATTCTGATTATATACTCCTATCTCCTCGCTATAGGAATCATAATATTTAAAATTGGTAAAAAGTGACAAATGTCAGATTTTATTTATTTATTTTTAAAAATCATTTAATTATCCACTTATCAGGGTAGATAAAGTATAGTATTACACTTAAGATTATGATTATTCACTTTAACAGAATTAATTAATTAATTATTAATTAATACATTATACATAATGCACAGTGGATAAAGATATGTCACATTTTTAATAAAACAAAACTTAAAAAAAGGGCTTGCACATAATTTTTCATTAACCGTTAATTAAGGGTTAGGGAGAAGTAATTAAA